GCACATCCGCGCGAAATAAGGCGAAAAATCGTTTTCTATCCGTTTTCCATGTTTGAATAGCCATTCAACGCAGAAAAATGTGCTGATTTCAATGGTGAAAAAATTATCAAAATCCGTCTGATACATTTTTTAAAAATCGCGTTTTATCGAAAAAATCGCACTTTTACAAGCAACTCGCTCGCAGCGACCAACTTTCGGCGGCTCGTTTTCAGCGTGGTCGAAAGATTGCGCCCTCAAAACCGATAACTTTTGTGTGGACGTTTATAAAGATCATTTTGATACCAAAAAAAATAAAAATTGATCAACTCTGCGAAGACTTGATGCCTTTTTAAGTTGAAAATGACGTTTTGCGACTTTCTGCCCGCTAAAACGTGGGCAATCGCCAACAACCTATTTAAAGCATCCAGACATTTATATTACTCTATTTACGTGTCAAAAAGCATGAAGTAGAAAAGCCGCGCTTGTTTCCTTTCATTCATTTCCTTATTCTTTTCTTTTGGCTTTTCTCGTCGTGTTTTTTCGTCATGTGTCTGCAAATTTTGGATTAATGCTTAAGGGAAGTTTTTTTAAAATAGATTGCTTTGTTTGGACGAATTTTAGCCATCACCACCACATCAAAGCAACGAAAAGAGCAAGATGTTCCAAGCGATGACAAATCACAGGTTTAATTGGGTCTTTGAAGCGTTTCTTTCAACATTTTTTTGCATTTCGATACCTAAATTTATGCGAGATTAACAAATTGAATAAATATAACGCCTGAAAAAGAAACATAAAGCATGGTCGTAAACTTTCATATTAAATAAGACCCAAATCAAATAGCAAGACATTAACAGCGTGTCGTTTAGTGGCGAATAAGAGTGTTTCGAGTTTATTTAGACGTTTAGTTCGACGGCATAAATTGCCAATGATTGAATGCAATGATTCCAAGCCCTCCTCACCCATGTTAGCCAGACAATTATTTTCGTTCAAAAACTCTGGAATGTGTTTCAACGCTACGTGTGACTTCACGGATCGTGTTCCAATATCAAGAATTTCCATACTTGAGAGAAGTTGTTTTAACTTTTCACAAATATCATCAATCTCTTTAACCGGTAATTGTGCTTTAGTTGAGGCTGAACTTCGAGAGAAGTCATCGAAGATATCCAAACAATTGCACAAATCACTGTAACGAGATGACATTGAAACTTTTCGATACATATTTCGATTCTGACAAAGTTTTTTGATTTTTGGACCATTTAGATCATCCGACCTGTGCGTCTTGAGAAATCCTAGCTTTTTTGAAAGCTCTTCGAATTGCATGCGTTCCAACGAATTAAGATTAACTTCAGCTTCCATAGCCTTGAATATTTGATTTCCGAATCCTAACTTGATGTGCAGAATCGGAGGAACACAATGTTTAGGCTCAATGTTCCATACATATGTTCCATACATATTCCCTTTCGATTTTCGGCATCTTTTGTTGGAAGTTTTAAGCGCTCATCAAAACTCAGGATGGTACGTCTTTCGTAGTGTGTTTGGTCTAATTTCTCCTTAACGCCCGTAATTTTTCGCGTCTTCACAGCTTTAAAGAAGCACCACACACAGGGATACGTTGAAGCACACGACATTCCGAATGCAGAAGCCATGAAACTGAGATCACCGCCCAAGAAGAAGGCACAAGGTAAAGGTGAAAGCTTTTCAAACAAGTCCTTTATCTTGCACAGATTTTCGTTATTGTCATAACCATACCACGCGGCAAGTATCAGTTGATTGTAAGGGGATTGTTGCTTTTCCGACTTGTCTGGAAACATGATTGTAACTTTGGTAATATCCAGTCCTTTATCACATAAAAGTACAGCACGGTGTTTCTCGTTGTCTTTAATTTTAGACAGTCGATATTGGACGGAAGAAAACATGTCTTTTAGCTTCACAATATCGCCTTCAATTTCATAGTCGACGCTTTTTGCAAGGGTTGCCCGTACCATATTCATACGATACTCCGTTGCAAGAGTCTCATGACTCATAAATTCGATGAGCGTCCCGTGATACTTTAGATTTCGAGTAAAGTGCAAGGGTTTGTAACGGAGAAAGCGATCGACAGACAATATTTCTTCTCATCCTTTTTCTGTGATTTTTACATTGAACTTTCCGGGCAGCTTTAAGGATTTTTCTTTGTTTTCGTCGCATCTCTGCAGTGATTCTTCCTTTCTTTATCTTTCCTCTTCTAACAATCAACATTTCTGCCTGATTCAAAGTTGCTCGCTCTTTTTTTCGTTTTAAATCTGTTATTCTCTTCATAGATGCACTTTTGCGTTTGCTTGCCTGTGGCATCGCTGTCGAACCTGAAATGAAAATACTAATGTTAAGCTCAAGAAATGATAAACTTTCTGAAATAAGAAACGAATTAATCAAAAAGCTAAAAAAATGACTGCTGGTAGTTGGTTAATCGTCTCTTTGTGAACAAGAAATATACCGAACCTATTAAAAAGCTTACTAGGAGTTTTTTTATCAACAATTTAAATAGAGATAAGTTAAATATAAGTTAAAAGCCTCTGGGAAAAACGACAAATTCAAATAGAGTAATATAAATGTCTGGCTGCTTTAAATAGGTTGTTGGCGATTGCCCACGTTTTAGCGGGCAGAAAGTCGCAAAACGTCATTTTCAACTTAAAAAGGCATCAAGTCTTCGCAGAGTTGATCAATTTTTATTTTTTTGGTATCAAAATGATCTTTATAAACGTCCACACAAAAGTTATCGGTTTTGAGGGCGCAATCTTTCGACCACGCTGAAAACGAGCCGCCGAAAGTTGGTCGCTGCGAGCGAGTTGCTTGTAAAAGTGCGATTTTTTCGATAAAACGCGATTTTTAAAAAATGTATCAGACGGATTTTGATAATTTTTTCACCATTGAAATCAGCACATTTTTCTGCGTTGAATGGCTATTCAAACATGGGAAACGGATAGAGAACACCATTTCGCGCGGATGTGGGGGGGGCGTTCTATTCGAGGGGGTCGTTCTATTTTCTCCCTCCCCCCTCTACCCCGCCGTTCTATTAAAGTACCGTAATAATTCTAATAGAAGACCAGTCTCTAATAGAAGACCAGTCTCTAATAGAAGACCACCCCCCTGACCCCTTGAAATCGGGACTTTTTAAAACTTCTTTTTAAGTAGAATGATAGATTTCGGTCCAGATAGTAATATTTTAGCCCCGGCAGTTAAATTGGAGACGTAGTTTTTGAAAAAATTAAAAAATAACTTTTTGGAAAAAATTTTATGTGGTCCCCCACATGGATTTTTTTGAAAGATTTTCTATGGAGTCCGGGCAAGAAAATAATTTCACTTTTAGACATGTTTTTGGCATGTTTTGGGCCAAGGGCTATCGTTTGAAATAGTTTTTAACAATTTTTAATTTTTTGATTTATGTAGGGGACCCTTACCTACTTTTTTGACCGATCAATTTTGGGGGGTTGAAAATTAGAAGACCATGGTCTTCTATTAGAATTATTACGGTATTTACAATAATTATATGAGCTATCCAATTTGGTATCCCTAACTTCAGTTCGTCAGTTTGATCGCTTTTGCCTGTTTCTTGCTCTGGCTGTTCCCATCGATTCAAGCGCTGAGAACCGAGAAACCCGTTTATGCACAAGTGGTCTGGATCATGAATGTAAGGCCAGTAAAATATATAAATATTAAGAAACCAAAAGCATATTATGTACTTTTGTTTCAGTTGATCGCCATCAGTCTGTCGCTAGTCTATTTGGTGTTAAATATCGTCACTGCATTGATAGTCTTGAAAAGCAAAACAGCAACCATTTATTTTTCACGTGAGTCTCTTTATTTACAACTCTTCCATTTCAAATTATTTCAGAGCTTTTCATCCAACTCGCTATTAAAATTCCGTCGAATATTTGGATTCTGTTTCTTGTTTACTCATTTTATTCATATCTCAGGTTTGATCTGCTTTCAAAATTGGTTAATGAAAGCATTGACTTGAGAATCATAAGAGCCATAAGAAATTTAAAACTTTAGAAAACGTTTTAAGTTAGTAACTGTCGGTAACTTTAAATGTCAGTAACTTTAAGTAAGTAAGTAACTTCAAACTTTAGTAACTAACTTTGAAATAAGTAATTAACTTTTAAGTAAATAATTAGCTTTTAAGTAACTTCAAAGTAAAAGGTTTTTATTCATTATTAAATTAAAATTAGAAGCCTAGGGTTCTAATTTTAAGCTGTAACTTAGAAATTATATGTTTTGTTTAAGAGATCGCCAATTGTGGAAAGAGGGACGGGTCCCACCGATGCAACAAAATCAATTAGAAGCAAACGCACCGATGGTTCAAAGGGTTTAAGAGAACACGAACAGAGATTCACTTAATCAATTTTTTGTACAGTTTTTCTCATGAATATGGCTTGAAATTTTTTTGGCTTAACGAATAAAGATGTTCTTTTGAACGCTTCTCAACTAAAACTTATAAGAAATGCATAATAAAAACAGTAATTTGTAACTTTTAACAAATGCACATGTGGCTCGAGTCGAGTCGAAGAGGGCAAATCAAAAAATCAATTCGATTCAAAAATGGCTGACTGAGCTAAAAGAAAGCTTTGAGTAACTGCTTGTCAGCTGATTTTTGAGATCGCAAAAAAGATATTTCAATCTTTCGAGGGAAATTTGGGATCTGTTGAAGCGATCTGTTGAAGCGATCTGTTGAAGGATGATCGATCTGTTGAAGCGGCAAGGTAAAAAAGATAACTTGTGCTGAATAAGTGAATAAACGCACCCTTTCTGGCACACTCAATTCTCCATTTTTCTCACACCATTTTCTCTGACTCGAATCGATTCGACCGATTCGAATGGGGCTCGTACCAGCGACGCTCAAATCTAGACATGTCCATTTTCGAGTTTTGGCGGCCGGGTCAGGTCAGCGAGTCGGGTCAAGCCAAAAATTTTTGCCGGGTCGGGTCAGCAGGTCACTCGGGAAAAAAGCCGGGTAGTGGGTCAGGTCAGCGGGTCACTTTTGACCCGACCCGACCCACAACGAGTACAAAAATTTTTGTCTTCAAATCAAAAATCTAAGCACTAACAATTCTTAAATGATGTCCAACTAAGAGAAAAAATGCAAAAAAAAAATCGATTTCGACTTGTCAATTTTTTGTTGATAGGTCGAGAAATTTTGTCTTTTGACCTAATCAATTCTCCTAAGATATCCCAGTTGCAATGATTCAAATTCCACTTTCCTGGGCCAATTTTTTTGCGTAGATTCCAAAAATCACACTTTCAGCACGATTGGACGACGGTATCGCGATGAAAAGTGACTTTGAAAATTTCTAGGTTTTAACTTTGGTGTTCAGAAGGGCAAAAACCCTGAATAAAATAGAAAACCTATAGAAAAACTGATACCATCGTGTAGAGCTCAACCTGAGCTTTCAAAATATATATAACACTTATGGGTTCTGTCGAGTACTTCTGTAGATATGGCGTTGTGCGACCCGACCTGACCTGATCCCCATGTCTACTCAGATCAATAGATATCGCGCCGATTCGCTGCGTTTTCTTTCGTTTTACTCTTTATTTTCCTTTCTTTTAGCAAGTCATCACTAAAATACCCTTTTTTTACGGTTAACACACCAAAAGAAAGAAAAAGCCCGCCCGTGACAAAATTTTCAACTTTTTTGCTTTTAAAAAACGTAAGTTCAAATTTCTTGGGCTAATTTTTGATCCTGATCACGAAAAACATGTTTTTAGTCTAGGTTTCTAAGGGAAAGAACCGACGAAACGCTATTTTTGCACTTTTTACGGTCTGATCATCTCTACCAAAAACCTCTGTAAAAACTTTAAAAAGCAATGAATCGATAAGCGGGTTTTTTTCATTGAATCCGCTTGATAATTAGCTTTCGAACGAGCTATTACACGTCTAAATTGATTGAGTTTGAGATCCTCTCCCAAAAAAAAAGCGCACAAACTTTTCGTACAACCCAATACACGATAACTACGAAGTCCCAGCTCCTTTTTCACAATGTTCCGAACCGACCAATCCGAGATTTTCAGCTCCTTGGCCATTTTTCGTAAGCTTCGCTCGTCGTTTCGGTCAATTCGCTGTTTGATGAGCTTCCGGATGTTTGGCGTGTTCACCGATCGAGGTCTTCCTTTTTTCGGCTTCTCCTTGACGTGTCCTTTCTCTTGCAATTGTTTGGCAAGCCGTTAAACAGTTCTGATGTCGGTTTTGAGTTATCGCGAGATGGCAGCCTTCGACTCTCCGGCTTTCAAAAGCATAGCGATCGCTTCTCGATGAGGGCAAGCTTGCATTTCTAAAAATACACATTGAATGCTATGCACCATTCGAAAGAGGACAAAAAACTGGACAAAATTCATGTTTTACAGAACGTAAAAGGATACTTTTAAATCGCATAAAAGTTAGTTCAAAGAGACGCAACAATACTTTTCTCGGACCCTGTATATATAGAGAAAGTGGTCGCACTTGAGAAAAATGAACCGATGGATGGAAAATGATCATTCATAGCTTGAAACTTTTTTTACCTGTGGCTTAAATGCAAATTCTCTATTTTCCGACACTTTCTGAGACATCTATGCAAATTTGGGCAAAGACTATTGTTGTTGCTCTTCTTTATTTGCTTGTGTGCTTTTTTTCGCATTGTTACAGCTCCGAATTCGTCATTAGCCTTGTATTCTACTGTTTGTGTGACCCAAACGATTAAACGCTTTGAACACCAGCTTCTCAAACAAATTTATCAGGCTTCAAGAAGAAGAAGAAAAAAAGAGGATAAAAGGGTAAAACGAGTACACATATTTTGGGATTTTATCTACACTTATCGAAAATTGTTTAAACGCTTCTTTGACTATTATGTTTGTCGGGGATTCGGGTTCGGGAAAGGGGAAAATGCAAATTTTAAACATAAAAAACGAGTCCAGAAATCGTTTCCCTTAAAATAAATTATGAAAAATTTGTGGATGATTGGATGTGGTGTGAATTTGAAATGAAAAATTCAAGAGTACTCACACAATTCACGGTTCATTATGGAGAAGCGGGGAGAAAATGCAAGTTTTCTGGGAATGTTTCAAAGAGGGTCGATCGGTTTCTGTAGAAATATTTCAAAACGCGATAAAAAGGAATGATGGCATTAGATGCATAATAGGAGGATTATTTCTGAAAGTTACAGTACATGATTGGTTCAATTATGATTTGCCAACATTAAATTTGTCACAAAGTACATATGGAAAACTTAATTAGTCACAAAAAGCAGGTTGGTTTGGTTGACACATATTAAAAACCGACTCGAATTCACCTCAATTATGAACTTGTTCGAAATGACGAGAATTTCTCAAATACTTTTTTTATCACAATAAAAAGGCAATAATAACAGAACGGAAAACACGAATGGGTGGGTGGGGGGTCAAATTTGATGGAGAATCTCCCGAATGCAAAAGCCATTGGGAATAGTTGGGGAACTCACATCAAAAACACCCCAAAACAATCTCTCTCGTAAAACACAAAGGGTAAAAAGAAAAAAACAGCAAACAATTATCACAAACGTGCGTAAGAAAGGTCAGTCAAAGGAGATAAAACTTGTTAGACACTTCCAGAAAACAGAAACATTAAACGACTGATTAAAAGGTGGAAAGTCTATAAGTGGGTGCTGATAAAAAGAAAGGGATTAGTTCGGCTAAAAATAAATGGATGCACGATTTACACGTAGGAAAATTGTTGACGACGAAGTGCTATAAGTTGTGATGGTTGTTGTTGTTGTTTGAATGGGTAGCTCACACGCGTAGATTTCCTTGGAATAGGTCAGTCGACTTCTAAAAAATAAACTTCATATGGATTTAAACTTTAGTGGTAGTTTAAAGATACATTTTCTCATACTACAGTAAGCCAACGCAACAAAAAAATCAGCCTTATTGGTTGTACGGCCTATACTGAACTCCTTCCCCTTTTTAATAGACTATTCAATTTGCTGATAAATTTATTTAATCAAGAAACCGAATAACTAACCTTAAGTGTGAATAAGTGGGAAAAGTGGAGCCATCGGCTGACCGAGTCCAAACTGAGCCGGATCAACCAAGAGTTGAGGAGCATCAGCAAGTGTCATTGGACGAACGCGCAGAAGTGCCTCTCCAGTCGTCGTAGCTGTTGGCCATCTAAAAGCAAAAGCTAAATCCAATTTTCAAAAACCAGTAGCTACCTGAGCATTTGCACACTCTCAACAGCAGTATCCGGAGTGGTGAACTGATGCATGATGTCTTGTGCGGTGACGCCGAAAGTGATTCCGGTTACAAGCACCTGAAAAAAAGAAAATAAGTATTATAAAACAAGCAGGAAAGTCTCCTATGCTCAAAATTTACGTTTCCAATAAAATTTCTACATTTCTTGCAAAAATTTTGAGCACAGTGACCACAATCAACCAAGGATATTCAGCCCTAATCGTTGACCATTTTTCGAATAAAGTTGTTCAATCGCTGAGCCTATCTTCTAAATCGTAGACTAGGTAATCGAAAGCAAGAGAACAACTTTATCCAAAGACATAAGCATTATGACATTTGCCAAAGGTTAAGCCCGTCTCTATTCCCTTTGCCAAAAATTAGCCGAATCGAGATAAATGCATCAAAAAGGACATAGCAAGACCCCTGAAGAGACTCTTTGCCGCCACTCTTTTTTCTACTCCAAGGTGGAAAGCAACAACCAAAAACCACAGTTTCCAGAAAAGCCCAATTGATATGTGTGAAAAAGAGTTACTCTTTCGCCAAATTTGGTGTTCAAGTTGTGCCAGGGATCATGATTTTACACCACTATAGATATAATATAAGGGTTGTTTCTTCAAAGCCAATATACTCAAGCAATGGATACCTGTCCTCCCGAACCAAGCATCATGTTTGGCGAAACAGGTGGCGATGGATATGGCCAGTACATAGCACCAAATGGTAGAGGCATAGCAGCTGACGGAGCGGTGATCGGGAAAGGCAAACGAGGCTGCACTTGTGGAAGGATGAGCGGTGGAGCGGGGGCAGCGGCTTGCTGTGGAGCCTGCATCACCTAAAATTTATAGTTTAGAAGAAAATGTAATACGTTAAGTATGCGTAAACGATATTAAACGTAAACGTCATGTCGTGTGTAATCACTAACCAAATGCATATCATCGGGCGAACATTGGAAGACCTAAACAAGAAAAATTTTAATTGAATTATTTAAGCGAACTACCTCGATGTAGCGCTGCTTTTTGCCAGTGTTCATGAACTTGTTGTGAGTGGTTGCAGCACATCCGGAAGCCGCTTGCTCAGAATTCATCTGGATGAAGCACTCGCCGGACGGATGGCCTAAAAATTTTAATAATTACTCGTTTATAAAGGGATTTGACCTATTCTAAGATATTTGTACCCGACTAAACCCAAAACCCTCACCTTGTGCATTGAAAACCATGTGAACTCCTTGGAAGACAATGTTCCGAGCGTGATCTCCGAGGAAGCGAACCACATCCTCAACTCGAGCCTCGTATGGAAGTCCACGAAGACGAACACAGTCGCGTCGAGTAGCAGTCACCGGTGGCGTCATTTCGGCGGAGCGTTTCATGACCTGTAAAAGAAAATATTAGAAAGAAGCCATTTAGATCGATAAATTTCTAATTTATCCCAAAAAATTCAGGAAGAGACATTCTGATAAATTTTGCTCAAAAGTCAGGAAGAGGATTGAATGGGGAAAGAAGTGGTCCGAGGAGGAGGGGTGCCCGTGCGCGGCGATGATTTGCATAATTGGTTTGTCGGTCTCAAGGAAAGCTCCGGGAATAAGATGGGTTCTTTGGATACGAAAAAAATGCGAGGTGATTCTTGGGAAGACCGTGATGGGAGAAAAAAACGCATGTATAAAGTTTTCCGAATATTTTATCGCAGGAGATCAATGACAATTTGTCTAGTCTATAAACGTGGAAGCAAAAAATCGGACTGAAAGGAAATTTTTGGAGACTGGTTACGTGTGGCAAAAATCGATGCTCAATACTCGCAACCCCGCAATTACAGGTATGATGAGACATGAGCCCGAACAAAGCTCACAATAGAAAAAGAAAGGCTAGGGTATTAGTTGGTCGACAAAACCTATGCGCGACAAGCATTCTCCGAAATTTTCAAACTCGGAAAAACTATCTTTCAAACAAAAAGCCCAATTACGTGCAAAAGTGTGCACTTTTTTAAGCTGCATGTGACGATAAGCCTCCACATCAGCCAAACCAAGCACGATAAGCCAGGTAACTGTTTTCAAGTCACTTTCTGCCAACTTTCAATTCTGTTAACAACCTTTTTGCCGCCCTTTAACTAATCCTCTACTGCACTTTAAAATAAAATCTACAAAAGCACCTACCATTTTTCTCTCTACAGTAACGCCCCTTTGCTGTCGCTTCTTGTTGCTATCCGAAAAATTTCTTACATGGCTTGAGGTGGTCTAGAAGAGAAAAAAAATAGCTGACTACCCCAAATCCTAGCAACACACTTTAAATAAAGACTTAAAGCGCACAAAAGAATCAAAACCCTTTACCTGATTGACTTCGGCGGTGGTGGAGCGAAAGAGTTCAATGTATCGGCTTCCAATCGTTTGTCGGTGCTTCTTAAGCGCTCGAAGACCCGTCTCCTCATCACCAAAGAGTACAAAGGCATCGCCAGTTGGTCGTCCATCAGGTCGCGTCACGAACATCACCCCCGAGTCCATCATTTCCGCTGGCTCGGGCTCGGACAAGAAGAATTCTTTCTAAATTAAACAGATTAACTTGGAATGTAATTTATTTTCATTTTAACCACTGTTATACTAATACTAAATTTGTTTCATCCTTAAAAGCTCCAAATTTTTCTTTATTTCATCTTCATTGCCAAAAGTCTCTTTGATCTCACTGCCGCATCAAAATTGGTTCAGCTTGGGGAAAATTTCGATATCGATTATCCGTACACAATGTGCCTATTTCATTCTCGACAGCCCTCACTCCCGGTTTCGGCACACACCCATCTCCCGCACCGCGTGCCCAAATATACAGCCCCAGCATTGAATGGGATGGGGCTGAGGGAGGAAACGCCAAAAAAGGACAACGAGACGACGCCCACAATGCCCATATCATGGGATTAAGTGAGATCAAATTTATAGGCTCAATTCTAACAAAACCAAAACCAAAACGAAATTTCGGAACGTCAAAAACCCACGATCTGTTGCTCGGCACAGTCGTAGGGAAGTCCTCGCATACGGATGATCACAGAGGCACCGCGGCTGACGAAGATCATTGCTTCAGATGAGCACCCTGAATATGAAACTTTATAAACAATCAATCAATTAGTAACTTTATAAACAATCAATCAGCTTAAAAGACGATAAGGCTTGGCGGAGAAAAACGGGGAATCTGGATTTTAAAGGAGTGCGAAACAGATTAAAGTCAAAAATAATGAGCATGGAGAGAAAAATCAGTTGAAGACCAATCGGCAGAAGAAATGAGAAGTTATGATTTTCTTGACACACATTCTAGTGTTTTATTTCACTTTTAAATGCAAATTGCCGATCAAATTCAAAACTGCTTATAAATGTTAATTAGCCAATGCTAATGTAAATCAAAAAGGAGAGATTGAGTTTTCTTTCCTGCCATGCCTATCTATTCCCTGCCTATTTCAAAATTTACTCGAGAAAATCCCCAAGATTCTCTTAATTAAACTTAATTACAACAGAGATGCTGGTGGGAAAATGCGTGGGGGGCAAAAAACGGGCTCGATTCATGCGATCGCAGCGGCCAGGATTCTTCGGCATTCCCCAATTTCTTCTTCATGCCCATCTCCCGTCTAGCTGTCCGTCTCTCTTTCCATATACGCACCGTGTGGCACTCTCGGCTGCCCTCCACCCCTTCCCTCCATGTCTCCATTGGAATATAATATATGGGAACGGACGGGGGGCAGGATGGGCAAATCCAAGAGCGACCGTGAAGGGGATAGATAGAATGTGGGTGTGGGTGAGCCAAGGGGAATCCTTTTCAAAAGTTCATCGCTACCAAGATACGGAAGCTGTAAAGAAAAGTTTTCAGAAAAGCTGTAAATTCAGAACCGCTAACGACTTTGGTTTAGAAGAATGGGTTTCTCCCTCTGAATCTGAATTGGCATCAAGTTTAGTTAGGCCAAAAAAACTAAAAAACAAAAAAACGAGACCTAGGAAAATTTCCTAAAATCTACAAATTTATGTTCAGAATTTCTAAAACCAGATTACAAAAAGACTTGGACTATAGGGTGAGAGAAACAAGTTTGAAAGCTCAGAGTCACATTGAATATCACTCGAAAAACAAGCAAAAAGCAAGCGTTTTTGTGCTGCGGGAAGAAAGAAGAGAAAAGGAGGCAAGGAGACACGGTGAGCCGCCTTCACCCTCCAACAATACACACATTATTAGAAGGCGTATGAATAGCCGCCGCCGCGACAGATCAATGGATCAATGCGTTCGGCAGAGAATGGGCATTAAACGGCAAAAGAAGGGAAAATTTCAACCACATCACCATCGATCTTAAACTAAGAACTTGTTCTATTTTAAAATCTGAAAGGCTTCAAATCAAAAGTTTTAATGACAAAAGCCGACTTTATATTGGTTTCTGTTTTTAAGTCACTTACAAGTCGACTTTATATTGCTTTGTTTGCTTCTAAGCCCGACTACCGATAACACAAGCCAGTTATCTCTGGGCTTGAGATATAGCCGGACAAAAAAAGTATACAAAAACACTTACAAGCTGGCTTCATCGGGTGAAACATATCGCTAATATTAGTATTCAATAGTGGATAACGGGACAATTGAAAGCAGCGAGAGAGGCGATCTCAACACAAAGGGCTATGTCCAACCAATCAAAATCCCGATTGTCGACGTGCTTCTAGCCGGTGGGGATTGTGGGGCCGATGGGCTGCGACAAATTTGCCCAACTATGTAAATAAGGGGAACGGTGGAGCGAGATCGGGGAGGAGAAAGGGGGGGGGGGTGCCTGTCAAAATGCCGAGCTGGCGGCACGCTTCAAGTCACGATGGGGAAAAGGGGTACTATTGGAAAGGTGAGGTGAGAAGAGACCCACCCGGTCACCCCTTGATTGAGTAAATCTATTCTTTTCTCTCAAAATTTACTTTCTTCCGCAATTGATTGACAGTTTCCGTAGCTCGAATCGATTCAAAAACCAATAGTCAAAAGCCGATGCAGGGAGTTCTTCTAGGGCTCAGAAAGCGTTTATTTTGGGTAAATTTTACGTTTTCGAGGACCATTTGATTGATCAAACACCTTAACTAATCGATAAAGCAAAATTTCCTGTACTTTAGAGATAACCAGAATCATATGAGCATGGCTATGCTTGTTCTCATCCCCATTATCTGTGAAACAACCATTTCTCTTTGTAAATTGAAATTTGCAGCTCCTGTCAAAATAGGAACAAATCGTAAATGTAATAAGCAAAAGAAAATTTCATTTTAACGGAAATCGATATCACTATTAGTCACCCAAAAATCTCTTTTCAATACGATCCTCGTCGTGAATTCACCGGGGCACTTTACCATGGGAAACTCGGGAGCTATTCGCAAAACGCTGTTTGCTCGGTGGAGTAAATTAGCAAGTGCTAGATATGAGAATCGGACTACTAACATCAACTAACATCAACTGCCATAACTACCATAACTAACTAACATCAATTACCATAATCGGCAAACTAAAATGAAAACTAAAATCCAAATGAAATCTAGATGCAAAAGAGCTAAACGACAGGTTTATAAGTGTTTAAATTAAAATCCTGTGCGTCAAATCGATTCAGGAAATCATACGTCGATTTAGCGACAAAAGTTGAAAGGCTTAATGAAATTTTGGATAAAGGTCGGGTTCACGAATCAAATTCTATCAATTTCAAAAAACGGTTATACAAAATTCCCCTTTTCATCAAAAAACCAGGATCATTCCCCAAAAATGGAATCCAAATAAAAATTTCCGTCCTGTATCGATTAAAACACCTACACGTCGGCTAGTAGTTGTGTATCCCGAATATTGACAAAAAAATAGGCGACTCTTTTTTGAATGACGGTGCGTTTCGTGTCTGTGTTGCTTTAAAGGGAAAGGCTCAAACCAGAGAGTGAAGGGATGGGTGAAGAGAGAGTGCTGTCATTCTAGAGGCGATAAGATAACACCCATATGACAGTTTCGGAAAAATAATCATAAGAAGCAGAGGGATTTAGAGAGTTTGAGGAGAGAGATAGAAGGAAAGTTTAAGTTTACAAGTCTTACAATGTTTTGAAACAGACCTGCTGCCACTTGAAGAAATTCGTCGCCGGACGCTCGGTAGACCTCGATGTATCTAAAGAAATAATTGTTTAAAATTCGAGAATTCAGTTTATTTCACAGTAAAAGTCTAAACAGAGCGTTTAAATTTGGCTAATAAGTGCTTGTTGAGATTTATAACAACACTAGGTTTTGAGTAAAAATCATACCAATTACAAACTCTAATTCCTTTTAAATTTTAAAGCAATGTTATTTTTGAGACATTAGAACCAAAGTCGTTTATCATATTCGACATGAGATAATAGAACCAAAGTATGTAGTTTGGTACCAGTTAATTACTCGTGAGTCAAGTCTAGCAACGAGCTTCAAAACTAATAAAATTTACGCTATTTTAACCAATATACATAAACTTTAACAGGTTTGGAAAACATTAAAAAATTTCAAGTCCTTTTAAAGGTATCAATACAACCATTCAAACCATTAGTTCCAACTTAGCCGGGATAAAAGTGGCCCCTCCCAACCACCAAGTACCAAATTTCCTTTTCCAGGCTATTCAAAAAGCGTATCTTATTAGTTAAACTTAATTCCCCACTTACCGCGAAAGAAGAAAGTGTCGATGACGTTTCAAGGCGAGCGCCCTCATCTCCGGGTTGACGAATCTAAAGGTCAAGATGAGTAAATTGTAAAATCCTTACCTATTTAGCTTAAACAATTAGCTCAACAAAGTCAAATTTAATTAAAAGCCTAGCACTTTAGCCGAAACCAAGCTCTACTCGTTTTAAATTCGAACCTGCTTAAAATTTTAGCTAAACATCACGCACGACAAAGCTACATTTGCTTAAAATTACATTTGCTACATTTGCTACATTTGCTACATTTGCATTGTCTTAGCTCAACATTTCACTTGTCTTAAATTTTAAAATAGCTTGAAATCTTACCTCACAAGTGCCTCGCCATTTCGTCGTCCTTCGGCCGATAGGCATAACGCGACGCCGCCTCTAAAAATATCAAAATCAGCATCAAATCAATAGAATTAATTCAGAAATTTCATAAAACCACATAAATTACGGGTTTGCTTCACGATCAATTAGCTAGAGCCATTCCAAATTAGTTCCACAGCTCTGGTATGTCAAAATTTGAATTCTATGCCCTAAAATTACCCAGAAAATCAACTTTTGGAATAGAGATTGGTTAATATCAGATTTTTAGAGCTTTTTTAAAACGCGGAAAAAGGTACGCCAATGGGCAGCGTGCGCAACTAAAAAAATCGCATTTGTCCCACTCCCATTTTATCATTGAGTTCAAAACAGCGCTGTCAAATTTCTAACAATCCAAAAAACCAAGCCGGTTCAAGTCTTATACCAAAAATTCCTTGCGTTCTTGGCTACATGATGGGTGAAACAGTTTTTGGGGGTAGCTACTTTGCGCCAAATTTTTTGCGCAACTAGATCTTTTGCGCAACTCGCCATAACTTTCTTCTAAATCGTCTCGTTTCTTCTAACTCGTCTAACTTTCTTCTAACTTGAGCCAATCTTTTGATTTTGGTGTCATTTTGTTACATTTGTTGAGATCTACAAAATAACACCAAAATCATAAAGATTGGTCGACTTAGAAGAAAGTTATGGCGAGTTGCGCAAAAAATTTGGTGCAAAGTAGCCACCGCCCAGTTTTTTTAAAGTTAATATTTAATAGGTAAAAAGAACGCTTAAAATGGGCCTCTAAAGATATTCAGCTAGCCAACTGAGTTAACCAACCAACCAACCACTCGGTACACACATTTTGAACGCTAATTTTATCTATGAATATTAAGTTTTTTAAAAAACCGTTTCACCCATCATGTAGCCAAGAACGCAAGGAATTTTTTAGTATAAAACTTGAACCGGCTTGGTTTTTTGGATTTTGAGAAATTTGACGGTGCTGTTTTGAACGTTTTCTATTCGGCGCGGTTTTAACTACATCCCGTTTTTTCAGTTTCAAAAGCGTTTACAATGAAATATTGCCATAGTTAATTGCAGGTAGGTTCAAATTTAGTGCAAAATAGAAAACATCTATAGTAGGAAAGCTCAAAAAGTTGCCAGAAATCCTAAAAATCGTTTGCAAATGTTGCAATTTTTTGCGGTGTTTTCTATTTCACTGATTTATGGCACTGATTTTCTCAAATATGTCATTCATCAAAAAACTCACGGTGCTATATTCAAGCCGGCAAAGAATTGGGCAACATGGGTGTCAGAGGCTTGCCATGGAAGCCCTCGAGCTCGCACAACCACCTCACCTTCAACCGACTCATCGTCACGACTAAATTTAGCTCTCTCAATGCTGATATTTTGCATATGAACAAGTGCATTTGGTTCCTTAAATTACACTCTTCTTCTTAAATCTTCTTTCTTCTTATTCTTATTCTTCCAATTCTTAAAATCGGCTAGTTAAAGGACAACTGTTCTGATCGGAATTGGTGAGAAGCAAGGTGAGACACATAAATAGACATAACTACTAAATAAACACATCGATATTTTACGAATTAGAACACAAATGACTCCGAAGATCACCAGATCAACCACGAGATGTTAAGATCAATCAACAGTTAACTTGAATTACTTTAATTAATAATATAACAATTATAAAAATCCCAGTTTTGAGTTTCAAAAGGCAGTCGAGCAAATCACTTACAGAATGCTGTATTTTTGAATCGTATTACCGGATTTTTGAACTGGATTATCGTTGGATTACGGATTACCGTTTTTGAACTGGATTGAATCAAAAGCCTAAAGCTCTGAGCTTGTTTTACTTACATTGATCAGTCGTTAATCGTTAATCGTTAATCGATTTTGTTATGTTATGCAGAGTCGACATTTATACAAATCCTTGTACCATTTAAATCCTATCACAGAATGTTTTATGTATCGCACGGAGTTTCGCACGCTGCAAAACTCTACCCGAACTCGTGGCTTGTACAGGTTGAACAAAAGAAAGTTCTATTTTTTTAAAGAAAATAACTTTAGGTGATGCTCGGTACAGCAAAAGGAGCCGGTAGTGGAGTTCTGAGGACACTTGAACAGGTTTGACAAATATCCCATCACCAAACTCGCCTAAAGCCCGCCTTTTCCGGCCAGCTTGCCCTGTCACCGTGGTGCAGTCGGGAACGCGCTTGTTTGTGGCCCACACGGGGCCCCCCACGACCCGGGTTCGATTCCCCGCCTTGCCGGTTTTTTAATTTCGTAGTTTAAATTACACAATTATTAGCCTTTTAGAGTACCGCCCCCAGTGTCCCCCTTTCCATCGGCAATTCTTCTACAAAGCTTACGGTATCAATAAACAACTACGGCAATCTTTCCACGCTTACAACTATTCACTCTTAGTTCTTTCCATATATGAAAATGAAAAACAATAAATCTTAAACCCCTTTCGAACAATTTCTTCTCAAAATCGCCCTTTCTCGATTAGCATCTTGACCCCAAGCAATGAAATGAGAAAAGAAAAGGAAAGAATCGGGATGAAAGTGAGTGGATTGACAGAAAGAGAGACAAAGAAAGGAAAGATAATTGAGAAAGAAGAAGAAGAAGAAGAACAAGAAGAACGGCCTTCGATTAACGATCGATGTGTTCACAAAAGAGATTTGAGTCTTTGGGAATGCATAGACTTATAATTGGAGAGAGCTAATTGAGCCTTACTCTGTGCATTGATCAAGTTTAGAGCCTACAAACTTCTCATTGTGCCAGAGCTGTACATAGCTTGTACAGATGCCAGAGCTTGAGACTGTACATAAAAAGGCGACAAAATGATGCGGTTTAGACACTTTGACTGAAAGAAACCTATCTTTATGTCAATAGATAAAAGATAAAGCATAAAAAGGTCGGTATATAGCCAAATTTTCAGAAAAATTCATTCACCCAATTTCTTCGTAGAGGTTGTTATAGATTTTTGACGAAAAACATGTGTTTTTACTGTCGAATTTGCTTAAAAGTGAACTGAAATTGACTTTAAAAGATTGGAAATTGAAGAATAAACACTTTTTATTTAGAGCAAACCATAGGTTAATTGGTGAATTTCAAGATTGTGGGACATTTGATACCAGTCCCGTCCTTTTGCGATTGGCAATCCAACTTTGAGCTCAAATATCTTGGTATTGGACTGTCGAATTTAAAGCTTCTTGATATTATTAGATGCGCCAAGTCTTTCTCTGTCGATTGGTACAAAAACTATTTAAATTGGACGGCCCAACACCAAGAAATTTGAGCTTAAATTTAGATTGACAATGGCAAAGCGGCGTATCAGATTTTCGATAACCATTTTTCAACGGAAGTATGAAAAGGAATTAAAAGCCTTTCTGGACGGTCTAATAATTGCATCTAATATGCTACCATAGTACTATTTTAGACGTTTCCTCTTTGCATTGTTGTGTAGTGCTTCAAACAAACCCGAGCGGCGATCTAGCTACAATATAAAGTCACAGTATACTTTGGATATGCCTGGGATTGTACTACACAGGTCAACTGTTCAACCATGCGAATTCTTTTAAAACCTTTACCAATGTCCCTTGTTCATATGCATCGATATGCTTTCCACTTTCGACGACCGTCCCCCCAAAGCTCAAAGAGCTGGTGAGGGGCAAAGAGTGCACTCTCGCCCGTTGCTGTTTGCTAACGGTTCCCCGCCTGGCACCGCGTCGCCCGCCAACGGCTACTCCTAAGCAAACCTTCACTACTTGTATTGTCATTTTTTTCTCTTTTCTCAGGTACCTACAGCCGCCCATTCACCGGGTTTTTAAAAAAGAGATAGCTTGATACACATTTGACCAGATTTACCACATTTCATGATTCAAAGCCAGTAGTTCTGAGGGTATTACGATTCTGAAGACCCGGGGATTTCCTTTTCTTTCTTTCTTCCTTTCTTTCTTCCTTCCTTCCTTTCTTTCTTCCTTCCCATCTTCCTTTCTTCTTTCCCATCTTCCTTTCTTCCTTTCTTTCTCTTCCTTGTCTTTCCTATTGTTGTATCAGGCTTGTTCAAGAACTATAGTATTCTTGAGGCAGTAAGCTTAAGTTTACAGTCCAGAGTTCACTGTAACTAAGTCTCTTGAAAGTTTTGTATATAAAGTAGATTATATAAAGTAGATTATATAAAGTAGATCATATAAAGTAGATGATATAAAGTAGATCATTAATAAATAGAGTGAAGTGTAAAACCTCAAGGAACCAAGCCTTTGCCAAACCAAGCCTTAATGTAGTTTCTTTCAGAATTTCTAGATCCTTTCAAAACCCACACCAGAAATAGTGTTTTGTTGTTTTTACAAGGATCGGTGTTCGTCCGATGAACGGTTTTCACGGGTTTTTTCGCCGACTCCAAGTCTTCAGTCCCTTCAAATCCCTCAATGTTCCTTTCTTCAAAAGACCCTTGACACAGAGCACACCTCTCTACAAGATTTCTCTACAAGGCGAGCCTTTTCACCCCTTCACCTCCCCTCCATTGTCGCCTCGACCCAAATAATGGCCACCCATCTTTTCCCTTTCTTCTACTCACCGGGCTTTTGTGTCTCTTGACTATGAGTCAAGAGAGTGACTCTACCTCTACGAGATCTATTACTCCCGCTTTCTAATAACGTAACGCTTATAACGTAATCTATTTGAGAACTGGTTTCGTATTGGAAAATGAATCATGAAGATAAAGATATGAAATGGTATAGATACTGGATAAGCCAGCAGACAGCAGCCAAAAGCCAGCAGACATAAAAGCTTCGATAAACCAAAAATAGACCAAACGAAACTAATAAACACTAAAATCAAGTAAAAAGAAGAATTCTATCTGAAAAGATATCTCTAAAAAGCTATAGAAATATCCATAAGAGTAAGGCGAAGATTTTTAAGCTAAAAGAGTAACCAGGCTACTTCTATTGGGTTGTCCAGTTACTATTTGTCCAGTTACTATTTATTGGGTTGTCCAGTTACTATTTTGTAAATTTCTCAGAATACCGAAATCAAGAAAAAGAGATATATAAGTATTATTCGAAAGCTGAAGATCTCCTCTACATTTTGATATAAAAAGTTTTTGAATTTTGTTCAGCTTTTGGGCCAATTGACTGCACAAAAGAAGAGGTGGCCAAAAATTGGAAGGGTGTCTTTGGATCAAGTTTTGGCTCTGCTCAAATTGAGTTAACCGTTTGATGTTTGGCCAATAGATATATCAATACAACTTTTTAAAAATATAACAATTTCAGAGCATCTTTTCTTTTCTGGGCGGTTATTTTACACCATAAAACTTGAGGAATAGCTATGCTGGGATAGGTTTTTTCGAAAACGACCTCTCCCTTTGTGCAGTCAATTTCCCAAAAAGTTGAATGAATTCAAAAACTGTAGTAGCTCTACAGTGTACCGATCTATAGTAGATCTACAGTATATCGATCTACAGTATACTACAGCTTACAGCCTAATCTGAACCCGTAAACTTATGGCAAAGTTTTACAGATCACGAAATACAAAGCTAAGAAAAAAAGGCATGATTTGAACGCCTGGAAACTCCTGGAAGAACTCCTTTGAACTTTGAACGCCTGAAAACTCCTGGAAATACTCACCAAATCGTCGGATCCACGCCAAGACTAATCCTTTCCACGGCCAGCGCGATCTCATCTGAAATCGAGTTGATGGGTTTTGATGAATGTAACAGTTTTGAATAGATTATACTCTTTGATTCGAAGACTTGATGCCAAAAACACTCGATGGTTTTAGATTTGAATACAACTGTGTGGCTGTGTCCTATCTGTGGTGCTTTGTTTTGCTGTTTTGTTTTAGTCAAAATAACACCACCAAAATAGCGCCGTTCAAAAGAGCGCAGTTCCAAAGAGCGCCCTTTAAAACAGCGCAGTTTAAAACAGCGCAGTTCAAAACAGCACAGTTCCAAAGAGCGCCGTTCAAAAGAGCGCTGTTCAAAAGAGCGCCGTTCAAAAGAGCGCCGTTCAAAAGAGCGCCGTTCAAAAGAGCGCCGTTCAAAAGAGCGCCGTTCAAAAGAGCGCCGTTCAAAAGAGCGCCCTTTAAAACAGCGCAGTTCAAAACAGCGCAGTTCAAAACAGCACAGTTCAAAACAGCACAGTTCAAAACAGCACAGTTCCAAAGAGCGCCGTTCAAAACAGCGCTGTTCAAAAGAGCGCCGTTCAAAAGAGCGCCGTTCAAAAGAGCGCCGTTCAAAAGAGCGCCGTTCAAAAGAGCGCCGTTCAAAAGAGCGCCGTTCAAAAGAGCGCCGTTCAAAAGAGCGCCGTTCAAAAGAGCGTCAAAAACTCTTTAAACTTTAGAACATCGAAAAAAAGGTTCACAAAAAGATCGCATTTATCCCACCCCATTTTTTGTTAAATAATATTCAAAAGCTATGATACTATTTTACTGATAGTGTATTTAAGAATGAAATTTATTTAAGAAATTTATAACATTTAAGAATATTTATTTAAGAACTTTAAGGATCTCTTATTTGAGAGGTACACACTCGAATTTTGATTAGGCCTTTGTCTTGTCTCTGTTGTCTGTTATTGTCTCTGTTTAACTAACCAAAAATATTGCTCACTATAGCCTTTCGCTATCACTATCATCCTTTAAATTAACTTAAAGTTCCATCTGTTTTAAATTGTGTAGAAATGAGCTCTTTCAATTCATTACCCAATGTCCATTACCCAATGCCCATTACCCAATGTCCATTACCCAATCAGCTCTTTCAATCCATTCAATCTAGCCTTTCAAGACTTTAATAGTTACCTTATCTTTAATAGTTACCTTATCTTTAATAGTTACCTTATCTTTAATAGTTACCTTATCTTTAATAGTTACCTTATCTACCCTATGTAAACTGTATGCAAAGCTGTAAACTGTATTTCAAGCTGTCGCTCATCTATTTCAAAATCAATTCACTTTCAATAGTTAAAGAAGAACCAAAAACAATCAAGAAGAAAACAATCCCAAAACGCTTGAGTGCTTATTTCTTCATTCCCTTGATTTATAGTGAATGAAGAAAAGAATAGGACAGTCAGGATAGTACAAGAGAGAGCCTAAGATCCGCACCCATTGGGTGGAGGACCCCATGGGTGCGATGTTTATTCTACAGCTCGAGTATGTGAGTCCGGCGGCCCCAAACGGTTAGCCATGAACCGTGCTCTCACAAATATTATCTACTATGAAAAATAAACAGCGTTACAACAATGAAAAATAAATAGCGTTACCATAATCTTTCAAATATAAGTTTTAGGGGATTTATGGTACACTGTTGTATAATAGGATGCCCTTCTATGCCAAGATCAGGTCAGGCTTTAGTACAGTAGTTGATACAAGACTAGGTAATGCTCCTAATTACCCAAACTATTCCAATCGTTCATAAAATCTATTTCTTTGATCATAAATCTTTGATCTATTTGTTTTAGCGCATACAACAGCGCAATTCTCTCAATACAACAGCGCAATTCTCTCAATTCTCTCATTCACAAAAAAACCTTAACCCAAATTCATCAACGCGATCTCCATTCAGGAATTAGTGTGCCTGTTTTGCCGTGTTTTTGCGAGATTGAAAAACTCGAACAAGTGGAGGAGTGAAGGGAAGGAGTGACCTTCGTCCCAGTTTCTCTCATCCCATTCCCTCAATATCCCTTTTCTCACCCATTTTCCATTTTCTTCTCACTGGTGACGAATTGATTGATCAATGAGAATCCAATCCAAAAATCAGTCTTGAACTGGGTAGGATTATTTGATAGATTTTTAGCCCCAGTGCCTAGCTTACTTTTTGAACGAAAATCGATGGGTTAGATCTAATAGTTAAAGGCTCAATTAGTTAGAGCACAATTTAGGAAATGGCTGAATTTTGAAGAACGAAAAGACTTTCTGGACAGCCTAATGCAAGCTCTTTACGAGTAAATTGAATATCTTTACATTTGAAGGGAATCTGCCACCAAATAAGTTGAACAGCTGAATATCTTTCTGGACTTTCTGAAAAGCCTAATTGGTAGTTAGTTCAGGCTCAGGCCTAAGCCTAGGTTCAGGCTCAGGCCTAAGCCTAAGCCTAAGCCTGCGCCTGAGCCTAAGCCTTAAACAAGTGACTGACAATTAGCTGGATAACTGGATATCTTAACTTATTGGATATTTTGTTTCCAAGTCGAACTTATCCAAAGCCAGGGTTGTTCCAAAGGTAATTTTCCCGGCTCAGACTCAATCAGATCAGGCAAGTCTGGCTTTGCTGCATCTTTGCTGCAGCTACAGAAAGATTCTAGCTTGGCCTGGTTTATCCTGGTTCATCTTGCCGTCATTGTCCAAAGCTCTGTCATTTGATAAAGAAACAAAACAACTTATCGTTAAATCAAATTGATCAAATCTTTAGCTCTTCTTACACAAAGTAAGCAAATTGATCGTCTCCCCGTCTTCGAGTTTTTCCCCAAGTTCAATCGTTCTCATTGCTAGTTGGTGGCCAATTTGAATCGGCCCCTTTTTCCTTCAGCACACACACACACACACACACACCTTGAGAGCCCCTCAATGTCACGGTCACCCCTCCCATTTCAGTCTTTTCTGACCCATAGATGGGAAAGAGATCGATCGATTTTTGAGATCTGAGATCTAAAAGATCTCAAAGAGATTTTTTGTCACCCAAAAATTAGGGCTTATCAAATGGCGATCTGCCTGTGTTCAAATCTCTCTCAAACTTTTTGATATCGAAACGTTGATTGTTCTTTGATAAGTGTTTAGATTTGCTTAAAGGAATTCGAATTTGGACCGAATTTGGACGAATTATTCTCACTAAAATCAAATTATCGACAATTGGGTGTAGAAGTGTTTTTTTTTTGATGGTTTTATGTAGAAATGATTAAAGTGAATCGGTTTACGAACGGTTTAGCGTCACTGTGATTTTATCGGGTATTTGGGTCAGTTTTTTTAGCTGAGCATTTCAGCTCAGTTCAATGAATAAAACTAGCTGAATATTTTAGCCAGTTTTATTTTGACGGAATATTCGAACAATGTTCTGTAACAGTGAAAAGAGCTGTGCGAAGATGCTTTCTTTATGATTGGTCCTGCGGTGACATCAGGGTTTGGGTATAAAGCGCAAAGCGGTGAGGACAGTCCAGTCGCTCACCGCTAAAGCTTGGGTGAGGACAGCTGAGTCGCTCACCGCTCAGGCTTGGGTGAGGACAGTCCAGTCGCTCACCGCTCAGGCTTGGGTGAGGACAGCTGAGTCGCTCACCGCTCAGGCTTGGGTGAGGACAGCCCAGTCGCTCACCGCGCATTCCTCTTTACGGATTCCAAAATGGAACGGAGACGGGAGCTATCTATCGGGTACGTGTGCCAGACGGCGAGCGATTGTGCGCACGCACAAAGAACACTTCGAGCCCTTTTACAGAATTTCTCTTTTCCTTTGTAAATAGTATAAAAAGAAGAAATTCAGCTGTAAATTTGTACCCAGGGTTTCCAGGGTCGGGGAATCGATTGGAGATATTCATTTAATTGAGTCTACCAATTGAAACACGAAAGCAACACACACAACAATCCCGGACAATGGAGATTTCGCTGTAAATCTACATCTACAAGTTTACGGCAGTTTTGTCACCTTTTAGAAAACTTCTTACTGGACCTAGACTTTCAAATTTCCTTCAAAAAAACCCTCACTGAAATTTTACAGACTCCCGGATTCTTTTGTTACAGTTTTTTCAAAAAACGATTGATACAAAAAAGAGAAGAGAAATTTCCGAGAAAATTTTTCGTTTTTTTTTTCACAGATAGCCTGGGGAAAAAGAACAAGACAAAGGATATTGTCGAGACAAAAACCGAGAAGAAGGGAAGGTTTCTTTTAGAATAAAAGAATGGAACAAATATTGAGAGGATAGATTGGGAAAAAATGGATAGAGAAACCACAGGAAAATATTATTTTTGAGAGAGAAGCAACAATATTTTTTGAGGATTTTAAGGAAAAGTGTTTTAATTTTTGTGTTTGGTAAAGGAAAAGCAACGTGATTTGTGCAAAAATCTGTAAACGCACGGTTTCTGGCGCACTGAGGAGTGCACTAGAAAGGGTATGTTTCCATTTTTTTTTCCCACAAAGTACGAAAAGATCATGCACTGACTTTGGGAATATTTTTGTGCTCAAACACGTGCTTCCGGTTCACTCAAATCTTCATTTTTCTTGCAAAAACGTTTCGATTTCTTATGGAAATGAAGATTTAGATATTTTAGAAGATTTTAGCGCCAAAAAGGTGTGCTTACAGATTTGAGCAAAAATTTAGCATTTTTATTTAAAATTGGTCAAAATACGGCTGAGAAAAAGCCCGTACAGATTTAAAATTTAAAACTTCTAAGCTTCCTTGTAGCAAGTTTTAATTCTAGATAAATTGAGTGGCAGTACGGGGGGTCGAAGCCGGCTCATTTGGGCCGTAGACAAGCGCGCTCCTGACTGCGCCATCGCGACCGGAAACAGCGGCGAGATACAGTAAACTTGTCGGAAATTGGATCTGGTACGCAGATACAGTAAACTCGTCGGGAATTAGTTAATAAAAGAAAATGAGGAATGGCAAAGAAAGATTTCGGAAGAGGGGATTGAACCCTCGACCTCCGAATTTCCCGTCAGACCTCCCAATCGGACGCTCTAACCACTGAGCCATCCGTAATCTGCTCGTTGAAGAAGAAAAAGAAAATACAAGGGAGAAGTGAATCGAAGAAAGAGGAAGAAATGCGCATTTGGCAGTGCATAAGTGCAAATTTTTATCAGGGCAACGCATGTCGCCATGGCCGAGTGGCTAAGAGCCTCGTATCCTAGTCGGGGCTCGGTCCCGCTGGTCAAGGGTTCAATCCGGCTGGCTAGCTTTTTGGTTCTTTTTTCTTATCTATGGTTTTTTTTACATTTAGTTTTTTACATTTCTACATTTAGTTCTATTCTTCTCTACATTCATATGCTTGTTTGTTCCACATTGTAAATAATGTGAATGTGAATAATGCTGATACTTTATACCATACCCTTTGTTTTCCCTTATTTATCCCACCGACCTGGCGTATGTTTAGCGAAACGATCAATGAGCGAGGTCAACTCAACGGCGATCTCTTCCGCTTCTTGGGACATTGGCGGGGTTGAGGGGATTGCATCAAGACGCATCATGTTGACAAACTCGAGGAAAAGCTCGCCTACTGTCACCCCTTCTTGCGCCAATAATGGATGGATTACCTGGAAGAAGAATGAGAAAGTGAAAAGTGTGTTGAATTGTATTCGATAGCCAGAGCTAGAGCTTGTGCTAGAACTAGAGCTTGTCTTTGTCCTAGAACTTTAGAAAGACAAATACTATTGAGGTTTAGATAGTAAATAGTACGGTACAATATAGAGATCAAACTGCTGATCAACTGCTGATCAACTAAAGATTCAACTAACGAGAATGGGACTCGAACTTGAGGGCAAAAAGTCTACGGTTCGGCAGTCTAGCAGACTATCCACTAGGCCACCAAAGCAGTTGTTCAGGAAGCTGTTAATTAAGAACTTTTTAGTTCAAAAGCCAGGCTTGTAAAAGCTATAGCTAAAAACATGGACTAGACACTGTTTATACTACTTCTAATGTACTACTTGCTTATTTAAAGCTATAGATTAATTATAGTAATCTAGATCTATTATTTTAGACGTATTTTAGACGTTAGATATTTCTAGATATTTTACTACTTACAAGGGAAAGGCAACAAATCAAGCTGGCCTTTTGAACTCGAACTAGAACTCGAACTAGAACTCGAACTAGAACTCGAACTAGAACTCGAACTAGAACTCGAACTTGAGGGCAAAAAGTCTAAGGTTCGGCAGTCTAGCAGACTATCCACTAGGCCACCAAAGCAGTTGTTAAAGAAAAGTTCAGTTGTTAAGGAAAGTTCAGTTGTCCAAAGCGAGTAGCGGCTACTTAAGAAGTCCGAAAGTTTCTTCCTAAGAAATCAGATTTTCAGCCTTTTTCTTGTTAGCAAGAATCTTTAGCTTACAACCTTCAGCTTACAACTTTTCGTCTTTTCCACTCACCTGTCTCAACTCGCACGGTCCCCTACAAACAAGTAGCGCTCCAGGCCCGGCGGCGATCTCAATTTGTCTGAATAGGTCACCCAAATGTGAATTTCCCTCAACCACCGGCAATATCAAATGCGATTGCCCATCGCTTACACCGATCTCCACCAAACGAGAGCCGTCACTTCCCTGGAAAAACACGATTTATCTAGTTTCGTTATAAACTGCATATAAATCTATTGATAGTTTTGGACAGAGTCTATTGACAGAGCCTTTAGTTAGTTACAAAGTTACAAAAGACAGCTTGCATTATAGACAGCTAACAGCGAGTTTTTCTGCTGTTTCCGGTCGCGATGGCGCAGTCAGGAGCGCGCTTGTCTACGGCCCGAATGAGCCGGGTTCGACTCCCCGTACTGCCACTCAAGTTTGATTTTCGAATTTTTAATTCTAAATAACACAACTACAATATATTCTACGGTTTTTTAAAGAAGTTTTAGCTTTATTGGTCAAAATACAGCTGAGAAAAAGCCCGTACAAACGGAGAGAGAGACAGACAGACAGACACCGATTCTTTTATAAATAATAGATTGTCAAAATTGCTGTCAAAACAATATTGTTATTGTTATTGGTCAAAATCGCTCTCAACTCAAGCTCAAGAACAGAAAGATCAATGATTTTACAATTAAAAAGTGATCTAACAAAATTGATCCCGTTAGGGAAAGGTTTCAATCGCAAAATCGCAAAATCAGTAAATTTTTATCAGTAATGGAGCAATCAGCAAATCAGCAAATTGAGCAATTGAGCAATTGTGTCACTGATTGAGCTATTGTGTCACTGATTGAGCTATTGTGTCACTTATTGAGCTATTGTGTCCCTCAACTTAATCCGAACAAATTGTAGAATCAAGAGCAAACCCTAGATCATGCCCAAGGATCAACTACTAGAGTTAAAACAAACCAAATTCTCAGCGCTATTATCGCCAGCAGTGCGTAGGGCGAGGGCGACGGCTCGTCGCTGCATGTTGTTGAGATTGTTGAATGGAAATTGGAAATTGGTGGAAAATGGCAGATCAAAAAGGGAAGGGCAAATGGGGTAGATTTGAAAAGATTTGTGTGTCTCGAGGATGGGAAAAGATTGGGGGCAAGGGAGCCCGCAGCCCCGTCCATCTTGGTCGAACGCTCCTCCCCCAGCCTCTTTTACCCCCATTCCACAGTCTCACCCTTTCTCCATTTCTTTTCTCCATTCCTTTCTCCATTCCTTTCTCCATTTCTTTTCCCCAAATTTACCCCTCTTTTTCCACCTTTACCTGTCTTTTCCCCTTTTTGCCTGTTTAGAGAACCTAGATTTCAAATTTCATCCTTTTTACCCTTTTCTTTCCGGAAGGAAAGGCTTGAAATAGGCTTGAAATTAAGCATTCGATTGGGAATATTGAGCTGGATAAAGAACAAAATACTTGTCTAGAACAAGACCCTGGTCTATAACACCCAAATTATCGCCACAACTTTTATAACGAATTATAGTGACAACGACAAAAGCAACAAGTGTTATTGGTGCTCTTTTCACTGTCGCATTTCCCTTGTCATGCGTGCTTCCGGCAGAATTCGTGGCCACAACTCGGTAGATGCCTAAAAGTGGAAAAAAAATTCCTTCAAACTATCCACTTTCAACATGTCCAACACCAAAAATCTCTCAAAATCTGGCTTTGCAGTTACGACACTCTCTCACATCAACAACTTTTTCGAAAACCAGCTGGGAAATGTGTAATTTATTTCAAAAGTGGCAAGTTTTATATAGAGACTTGTAGCCCTAATTCTCGGCAACATTTATCTATCAAAAACCTCCCGATTGGACTTCTATAACTCATTTAACAAGCGTTTGAATGAGCGCTAGTCGAAATCTCTTCGACGAATCTGTCATTTGACCGCTTTTCTCTATTAAAAATTGTTAAAAAAAGCTTTTCACTATTTCTTCAATGCAAAAATCGTGTTTAGCATCACTTAATAACATTAAGAATCACACTTCAAATCGCCCAGAGCTCATTCAAGTGCTTGTTAAATGAGTTGTAGTATATATATTTTATCCGACAAGGAAAAGTGACAATGCAAACAGATTGAACAGCGTAGACGAAGAAAGATAATTGATATACAAACACAACTACAATTAGACACGTGTATACATGACATTAAAAACTAATTTAAAATTGACAGAGCTACAAGATCGAGCTTATATATTGAGGATTTAAAATAGTTCAGAGACGAAAAAATATCACAAGGTAACTTATTCCAAATACGAGGAACACGACAAGCAAAAGAATGATACAGTTGGCGGTTATGAAAGCTTTGAAAGGGGGTAATGTAGAAGTTCAATCGGGAGATTTTTGGTCGATAAATATTACTGAGAATTAGGGCTACAATTTTCTATTTAACACTTGCCACTTTTGAAATAAATTAGATACTTTTCTACTTTTCGCAGCTACTTTTCTAAAAAGTTGCTATAATTGAGGTTCAGAGCTGATAAGATGCGCGACAAGACTTGTAAAGGCTGTATGAGATTGATCGAATGTTTGATTGCTGAAACAAAGCTATCAATGGATTCGGTTTACTGTAGAATGTACTCTGATATGTTTAGATTACGATTTGATACTCAGAAGAAGCAAACATAAAAAGATTTCAAGTGAATCCCTGTTTGAAATGACTGTAGAATGAACTAGAATGAACTTTGATATTTCTAGTTTACAATTCAAATTACTGCGGATTACTGTAAGAGATTTAGTTGAAGTTTGATAATAAAAACAAAGCTATGGAAAGATTTACTGTAGTAAGTACTCTGATATGTCTAGTTTATTGGATTATTAATGAAAAGAAGAAGTGGAAATGGGGGATTCCTGTATGCCTAGTAGTAAGTTTAAAAGCTGAAACATAAATGCAAAGAAATTGAAGCGCTCTAGAATGCACATATATCTTGTTTACAAGCCAAATTACAGAAAGACGTCACATTGTGGTTTCTGGAAGGATTGTTGAAGAGAGGAACAAGTCACCGGTGGATTACTGTGTACCCAGTAGATTCGTTACCTATCAGTGACCATTCGGTTCTGACTCGGTTCCCTTTCGGCTCCGATTCGGTTTCGATCTCTGGAGAAAGTTATGAGCCTTCAAAGTTGACGTCAAAGTTAACGACCAATTTGCACCGAGAAAAAGGCTACGATAATTCATTTAGGTTACGGTAACTTTATCTGTTATCCAATTGAAAAGATTACGGTAACTTTCTCCACAGATTACAGTACTTTATTCATAGATTACGGTACTTTATCCATAGCTTACAGTGCTTCATCCACGTTAGGCTACGGTTAGGCTCTCTACTCCCCCGGTTCGGGTTCGGTTCCCTTTCGATTCTGACTCGGCTACCTATCAGTGCCCATTCGGTTCTCTTTCGATTCTGACTCGGCTACCTATCAGTGTCCATTCGGTTCCAATTCGGTTCTGACTCAGCTACCTATCAGTGCCCATTCGGTTCTCTTTCGATTCTGACTCGGCTACCTATCAGTGCCCCCTTGTTCCAATTCGGTTCTGACTCGGCTACCTATCAGTGCCCATTCGGTTCTCTTTCGATTCTGCCTCGGCTACCTATCAGTGCCCATTCGGTTCTCTTTCGATTCTGACTCGGCTACCTATCAGTGCCCCGTGTTCCAATTCGGTTCTGACTCGGCTACCTATCAGTGCCCATTCGGTTCCAATTCGGTTCCAATTCGGTTCCAATTCGGTTCCAATTCGGTTCCCCTTTCTATTCCAGACACTAGAGAAGGTCGGCAACTTAAAGTGGAATTTCAAAAAGAGACTTATCCTAAACGAGACCTATCTTGTTCAGTTTTTCAATCCAGAAAAAAATAGTAGCTTTTAGCAAGCCATTTTTGAACACATCTGATCTGATCTGAGCTGTTAAATGGCATTTTTCGGTCATTTTTCGATCATTTTTGAATGCCTTTAGATATAAATCTATGAAAGTTTATTTATAAAACTTTAAATTACAATCAAATATATCTGAAACTGAAAGAATTTAAAAAGTAAAGCCTTTTGATTAAAGTTGGCGGAGTTGAGAGGGACAGTTGAAGAGTTGCTGCAAGAGCTGCTGCTGCTATTGCTGCAAGAGGCCCAAATAGCGTTTCCTGGAAAGTGAAGCTAACTATAATGTTTAGATATAACATAAATAGACTTAAAATATCCATCTAATATAAACAATAATGTAATAATATATTTATGAGTAACCTGAGAGTGTAGGCGGCGATTTTTGGCTGTCTCGTCCGCGTGAAGACACCTTTATGATTGCCGACGGCTCGTGTTGTGGCTAAAATATTTGATTTTAAGAATCTTATAAAAGCTTATAATCTTATTGGATGTTTTTGAAGAGATTTAATGATCTCTTCAAAGGTCTAATGATCTCTTCAAAGGTCTAATGATCTCTTCAATGGTCTAATGATCTCTTCAATGGTCTAATGATCTCTTCAAAGGTCTAATGATCTCTTCAATGATCTAATGATCTCTTTGAATGCACCAGAAAGGATGGGTTTACAAATTTAAGCATAAATAACCCCTAAAGAAAGTCATTAAAGTGTTAAAAGTGTTAAAGAAAGTGTTAAAAGCATTAGATTTTGCTTTTTTCACTCACTCATTCCGGTCATGAAATCAGCGAAATTCCAGATCATCTCTCCGCCAATCACTTTTTTTGCGCGGAGAACGTCGAACGCTTTATGAGTCTCGCGAATCAACTCATCTTGGTACTGCTCGGAGAAGTCCACAGCTGGCTCCTAAAGCTTTCAGTTCTTTCAGTTCTTTCAGTTCTTTCAGTTCTTTCTTTCTTTCTTTCAGTTTTCAGTCATAAACAAATTACTGTAAAATGCTCTATTGAAAATCTTCTTAACCCATAAATTACAATCGTTTTCGAAAGTTTGAAATCAAATCTATTACGTTAATGAACAATTCTTTTCATTCTTTTCCATACTTTCATTGAAAAATAACAAATCCATCAATTAAACTATGATTTTCTCTAAATAAAAAGTTCACAACTGTTCAATTTCCCAGTTTATTCTTCAATTTCCTAGTTTATTCTTCAATTTCCCAGTTTATTCTTCAATTTCCTAGTTGATTCTTCAATTTCCAATCTTTTTAAGTCAATTTCAATCCACTGACAAGCAAATTCGATAGTACAAAACGTGTTTTTCGTGAAAAATCTATAAAAACCTCTACGAAGAAATTGGGTGAATCAATTTCTCTAAAAATTTGGCTATATACCGACCTTTTTATGCTCTATCTTTTATCTATTTACATAAAAATAGATTTCTTTCAGTCAAAGTGTCTAAACCACATCATTTTGTCGCCTTTTTATGGTCGCGTCCGTTTCCTTCCTATTTGCGTTGCTATTTTGCAATTATTCGCGTCGCATTTTTCGTCCTTTTTCTCCCTTCCCGAAATTGTTTTTTCTGGTCTGCTGGGGTTTTTTTTTGCCTTCTTTCTGGGGGGACTTTGTTGTTTCATTTTTGATGCGCATGCTGTTTTTGTAATGGATATTGTTGCATTTCGGTTCTGTACGAATAAACAGTAACGTGATAAATTCACTTTACTTTATGCTACCCTTCAGGTTTTAAATCCTGTTTAGATGACTGGTTTAACATTGTAGAGAGGTTTTACTAACATATGTGTCACCATCGACGTAGTATCAATCCGATCTGTACTCTTCTCAAGAGTACAGGGTGGCTGAAAATTACGTGCGCGCAGCATCAGTATCATAGTTTTAAACAATGTATAAAGCATTACTACTCATCTTTTTGTGTTTTAATATTCTTTTTATCGTTGTCTAATAATTTTTTGTTAAAAAAGTTGTTTTCTAGGTCATGACAAAGACGTGCGCTAGTCGGGACGCAATCGCACAGCTGGCGACGAGCGGCATGAAGAACTCGTCGATCGCATCGAGGCTTGGGGTGGCTCTGAGGACCGTCCAGAAGATCGTAAAGCAATGGAAAGATGAGGGGCATGTTCAGTCCAAGCCCGGAAGAGGACGAAAGAGGACCGTTAACACCCGAAAGATGCGTGGGATCATCAAGAGGAGGATCGAGCGAAAAGACTATCGTAGATTCCGATCCGATCTGTACTCTTCTCAAGAGTATTAATCTATTGTTGGATACTACGTGTTCTTGCTACGTTGTAAGCGCTTTTGGGGGAAGCCCTTTTAACCTTTTGTGCTATTCGGCCATTCTTAAGCAGAATCATCCTCGTTGATAAGGTTAAAGCGGGTCGCACTCCAAACTTTATGTACAGTCTCAATTCGAAAAACAGACAAGACTTTCTGGCTAAATCAATAACAAGAAAGAATAAGGAAACCTGTGTTAAACCATCAAGCGAATCAGCTCCGTACTCTGTGACCAAAATCGCTTTTCCGAATTTCTCTTTCCACAGCATCAAATCGTAGACAACGGAGCTGAAAATGTCGATTTTTAGCAAGTTTAGCAAGTTTAGCAAGCCAGCAAGCAAGAAAGCAAGCAAGCAAGCAACAAAGCAAGCAAGCAAGAAAGCAAGCAAGAAAGCAAGGAAGCAAGAAAGCAAGCAAGCAAGCAAGAAAGCAAGCAAGCAAGAAAGCAAGCAAGAAAGCAAGGAAGCAAGGAAGCAAGCAAGGAAGCAAGCAAGAAAGCTAGCAAGCAAGCTAGCAAGCAAAAAGCGAAAAAGATTTCAACTTTCAACCGATTTATATTCTCCAAAAAGCCCATATCGATGTACCATCCATAGTAGCGATTCACGCAAATCACATCGAGTAGATCGGCCTGATTTTGGAATTTAAATCTTGTTGCATTCTGTATTTTGTAATTCTTCTAATAAAAGAAATCCAAATCTAATAGAAATCCAAATCCAAATCCAAATCCAAATCCAAATCCAAATGGCTTTCTATTAGCGATTATCGTAAATCCAAAGCTCACCGTTTGATCGTTATCATAATTTGAGGGCCCATAAACGATAGTGACCGGGCGAGTTGGGTCCAGCGTGTGAGCCTGATCGATCAATGCTCTAAAGTGTTCAGCAGTTACGCTCGTTTTCAGTTTCTATTAGAACTTTTCCTTAAGTGTACTAGTTGGTGAGGTTTTTATCACGCAGGCAAAAGGGGCGGGGCTTAACCGCGCCTCGTCCCTTTGCCATTGTCAATCTAACTTTAAGCTCAAATTTCTTGGTGTTGGGTTGTCGAATTCAAATAGTTTTTGTACCAATCGATAGAGAAAGACTTGGCGCATCTAATGATACCAAGAATATTTAAATTGCACTCCCCAACACCAAGATATTTGAGTTCAAAGTTAGATCGCCAATGGCAAAAGGCATTAGAATAACAAATGTTCGATAACCAACATAGCCATTGTCCGAAACGGAAGCCAAACCAAAAATGACTTTGTCGTGAATGTGTTAAACAATTTTGGAGCTTGGTTCCATTTCTGAACTCACTTGAAATACGCCCTGGCCTCTTTCTTCTCAGTGTGCGGCTCGTTCGAGATACTCCACATGATCACCTGTAAATGATTGTAAAGCTCAACAAATCCCGTTTCCTAATGTTTTTACAGTAGTCTAGATTACTGATTGAGTAAATAAAGGTTTGAGTGCGCCAGAAATGCGTTTAGACTATGTGCTTTCCAAAGTCAAATGGCTGTGCGTGGCTTTCCAAAGCCAGTCTTACAGTCTTACATCGATTGTAAAGACTGAAAGACTTACCGCTGGATGATTCTTGTCTCTCTTGATCATTTCTTCGACAAATTGCATGTGCAATAGTTGATTGGCTTTCGGGAATCCTCTGTAATTTCGAAATTTTTATAAGCATTAAGTATCAACTTCAATCCAACAGCTGGCGTCTCCAAAATGACAGCGATTCCCCGTCGATCGCTCTCCTTTATTCTTTCTTCAGCGTACGGATAGTGAGAGGTACGGTAGCAATTAGCTAAAGATAAAAATAATGGATTAAAGTTAGAATTAAAGTTTTGAGGGATTACTGTAATTTGGTGTACTTTTGGTGTACTTTGGTGTACTTTTGGTGTACTTTGGTGTACTTTGGGTTCGTAAAATTGCAAAGGAAAGGCTCTGGTGCACTGAATTTCCTATTTTTCTTTCAACATTGAACAATTGCTTTGAGAAAAGTAAAGGATTCAGTGCGCCAGAAGGGCTACGTTTATAGATTTGAGCTGATTTGAGCTTCTACCTCCCATCCATTCGAACAAATTCATATCTTTTGTCATCACCGCTGCATCGTAGCCACGTCCGTGAATCTAAAATCGCAAAAGCTAAACGTGAATCTAAACTAACTTACAACTTAACTAACTTACAACTTAGCTAGCTGACAACTTAATTAACTAACAACTTAACTAACTGACAACTGAATTAACTTACAACTTAACTAACTGACAATTTAACTAACTTACAACTTAGCTAGCTGACAACTTAATTAACTAACAACTTAACTAACTGACAACTTAATTAACTGACAACTTAATTAACTGACAACTTAACTAACAAATAACTTAACTAACTGACAACTGAATTAACTTACAACTTAATTAACTGACAACTTAACTTCTGTTGTTAGCAACAAAACAATCTCTTTGTTTACCTCAAAATCCTCGTGCATTCCGAAGCCAATACAATAGAATGGTCGATCATTGATGTAGATCTGAAAGTGAGCTAATGAAAGGCGACCAGCTGATCCGTTTTCTAAAAGGCACCTATTTTCGCAAACTACCGTAATCAGCCAGTTTTCATCCGATCAGCACAATTTTGGGATGTAGATAAAACAGAAAAGAAAACGAAAAACAGCGCCGTCAAATTTCGCCGTCGATCGAACCGTTCTCTTTCTTTTAATCTTTTTTTTTTAATCTTGCTTAAATTCAAACGAAAATGGATTAAACTAGCACAAAAGTGCATTTGCCTAAGCCTAATCCTGAGCCTAATTTGAAAATCAACCTTCCGAAGATTGGATTGTTCTGAAATCTTGGGAAACTATGTAATCGATGAAGCGTTTTATTTTAAAAAGTATGCAATCACTCAAAAATATATTAGCTCATCGAATGCTAGAAACCAAGATTTTGAACTCTTACATTAAAATGCCTGAAAAAATTCTAAAATAAAACATTTCAAATAAAACAAATCAAAAATTCAAAAAACCCATTTTGTAGATAAAGGATAGGGCTTTTGAATCAAGCAAACCGTTTTTTGATTGGATAAATCGTTTTTTCAGAAAACACATTACCCAAAAACGATCGTTTATAACTTGCCAACCTAATAGTTTTAACCTATGATCTTTTAGAAATGTCTAAAATATGTCTTTTAGAAAATGATTAGCCGAAAGGACTATAATGTTTTCAAATCCATATTTATAGAGAATCTATATTTACAGAGAATTTACAGAGAATTATAAATTTTGCTCTTTATTCCAGAAACCTGTTCATTGTCCCATTTCACTGTCCGGAAGCCGAACTCTTCATTGTAAACGTCGACAAGTGAGGCATCTGCAGCACGGATTTCCACCTGAAATTTGACCAACTCTTGAATATCTAAATATCGAAATATCTAGATATCTAGATATCTAAATATCTAGATATCTAAATATCTAGATATCTAAATATCTAGATATCTAAATATCTAAATATCTAAATATCTAAATATCTAAATATCTAGATATCTAAATATCTAGATATCTAAATATCTAAATATCTATCTATTGTCAATAGTAAACTCTCGTTCTAATCCTCACTTTAAGTGTGTAGAGATCAGGATCACCCATTCCTCGAGGCCACCAAGGTCTCACATTTGACACCTGCGATGATCCAGTGCAATTTTGCTCTTGTAGAACCTGAAAGCTAGCTTTAAGTAAGGCTGCGAACACCCGTAAAGATACTAGAGCTTCTATATTCGCTTTTATTTTTGTTTATGATTTGTTTGGGATACTGTAAGGGTCAAGGGACTTATAGTACCTACCGTAACACGTTTCCTGTTAGACTACCGTAACTCGTAGCCTGTTAGACTACCGTAACTCGTCGCCTGTTAGACTACCTTAACCAGGTAGACTACTATAGCTTGATATTGATATTACCTCTTTCCCATCGGGATCATAGAGATAAACGATGCATTGCTGCTTGAGTTGATACCCATCAGAAGTCACATCCCATTTGAAAGATCCTGAACAGCTTTTATAGCGTTTTGTAGCGTTTTGTAGCGTTTTGTAGCCTTGTCCTTGTAAACGCAGCTTTTCTAGTGCACTTACCGAGATGTTCCGCATTGATCGTGATATCGTCGATGAAGATTTTTGGCTTTTTCACAATGTACACCGTTCTCAGCAATCCCGCGTAGTTAAAGAAATCGAATAGGCCGACCATTTTGAAGAAACCCGGTGGATAGCGCGAGATCAACTTAAGCATTTGGTACATTTGGTACTACAAAAAGTTTTGCGAACTCTATTTTATCTATTCCTTATACCTTTTTTTTATTTTATTAGGTTAGAAAGAAAGTTTGGATTGTAATGGATATTACTAAATGCATTTCCGAGTCAGGTCAAGGACTACAGGGTGCGTCATAATTATTGCAACAAGAGTTCAAAGACCGTTTGTGATGTCAAGAATGTGATGTCATGGGCTTGTAAAGCCAATAACAATCAAAATTGGACCTTCATGCAAGATGGAGCTCCCGCTCACACGAAGAAGACGGTTCAGGACTGGTGTGTGGCCAACTTTCCCTCAGTGATCACCAAGGATGAATGGCCTTCAAACTCACCGGATCTCAATGTGATGGACTTTTCCATTTGGGCAATCTTAGAGGCTAATGTCTGCTCTCGAAAACACACGAGTTTGGATTCTTTGAAGAAGTCTTTGACCAAAGGATGGAAAGCCAAAGGATGAGGAGTCCTCAAGATGACATTCGGGCCGCAGTGGAGGCATATCCGAACCGATTAAGGGCTGTTATCAAGGCAAAAGGCGGTCATATCGAATGATCTCTTGTTTCCTTATTTGTTACTGTTAAATAAAGCTATTTCTGTTTAAAAATCTTCTTCCAGTGAAACTTCTTGGTGTGCAATGCCTTGAGTATCTTGTTGCAATAATTTTGACGCACCCTGTACTTTATCTATTCCTTATACCTTTTTGTATTTTATTAGATTGGAAAGAAAGTTTGAATTGTAATGGACTAAATGCATTTCCGAGTCAGGCCAAGGACTAAAGCCGGCTCTCGGCCTGAACCAAGCTCTGGCTTTGCCTAGTTTTATCCAACTTTCAGACCCTAGAACATTCCTAGTGCTAGACTTGTCCGTTTCCGTTAATCTAACTAATCTAACTAACTAATCCGTTTCTCTTTCTCTTTCTACCGTCATCTTTTATCAAATCTATTCACTTTTTATTAGGTTGAAAAGTTGAAAATTTAGTTTGCACGTTTGCACGGTGATTTCTCAAAAAACAACCCACAAATTCCTCCCAGATTTCTTGATAAACTTGACTAGATTTCAAGGTTTTCAGATCAGAACAGAACAGAGGAAAAAAAAATCAGACTAGGCTTTAGGCAAAAAATAAAAGATTTCTTCAGCTGAAGTGACTTGATCCCTTTTTAATTGACCAGCCTTTAGACAGGTTTTGAATTGGTTAATGAATAGGCAATCGGCCCCATTCAAAACCTTATTGGACATTTGATCCAAATCCAACCTTATTGGACACGCCCCGCCCCTTCTGCCATTGGCGATCTAACTTTGAACTCAAATATCTTGGTGTTGGGAGCGCAATTTAAATATTCTTGGTATCATTAGATGCACCAAGTCTTTCTCTATCGATTGGTATAAAAACTATTTAAATTGGATAGCCCAACACCAAGATATTTGAGCTCAAAGTTGGATTGCCAATGGCAAAGGGGCGGCTCGGCAATCGGCCCCATTCAAAACCTAAAATCAAGTACTTAAAATAGGGAAAAGATGCGATTAAGTCAAATTTGATCTAATGCTTTTAACTTTTCAGAATCATCTATTTACAGCAAATACACAGTGCCAAGAAGATGACACGAAAAAATGATTTTTTTTGAAATACAGCTTCTCTGTAAAAAAATTTCTTGGCCAAGAATAGAGATTATAAAGCGTATTGCTCATTTCTGCTAGCTTTATCTCATCAAAAATCGTTTTTCTCGTGCAAAAAGTAAGTTGAATTTACCGTCAAATCGGCATTTTATTTTGCACCACCCTAATACATTCACAAAGACTCATTTCAGTTAAGCATCCCCATCCGAGTCTTCTCGGTTATCGATTTTCGTTCGACTGAAGCCTGAAGTGATCGACTGGTCACTTCAGGCGAGCACTCTACTTCAATGAACATAATCACCCCTCACAAGTTGTCAGCTCCTTGCTTAACCGAGTTGAGTCTCTGCGGATGTTTAACTGACAAGTACCTGCTTTTTTTTTCAAAACTTACTTCAAATCGGCTCGTGTTTCGCTCTAAATTCCCCATATAGTTGAAATCAGCTTGTGGAATTGTCGCCCACGAGAGCGTGTTATTCACCGCAACTGTGATCACGTTTTTCGCACCGAATTTCACCTTTACATATCCTTGAATAGCTTTTTAAAAAAAAATGATTTTAAACCTGTTTTGTGACCTCGAATTGAAAGGGTAGATGTCCACCAACGTGTCGACCAACTTCTTTTCCGTTGAAGTACTGAAATTTGTTCTCAATTCCAGTTATCGATCTTTTTACTGACCACAACCGCGAAATATTGAGCTGACTCGAAACGGAGGAACAATCGAAAGTCGTTGTCTCTCTGTAAAAAGTGATTGAATTGAAAGAGTCATTGAATTGAAAGATTTTCTAAAAGAGCATTGATCTAGAGCATTGATCTAGAGCATTGATCTAGAGCATTGATCTAGAGCATTGATCTAGAGCATTGATCTAGAGCATTGATGTTCATCGGTTGACGAAAAATTCCTGACTTGGCTGCGAAGATTTCAATTTTTATGCGCACTTTAATAAGAAAAATAATTATTATTATTTCTCATCATTATCGACTTTCTGCCATCGATCTGCCATCGATTTGCTAGCTTTCAGATCTGATAGAAGTACTACTCTTTCAGTTTCAAATCAAAGAACTCTTGGCAAGCTTCTTCAACTTCTTCAAATGACTTGAATCGGCAATCTCTCAATTGAAATCAACAACATCAGGAAATGTGAAAAAAGCCCATCTGTACGGGCTTTTTCTCAGCCTCCTTTAGGCCAAAAAAGCTAAAATTATTTAAAAAGTTTCAAAATCTAATGTAGTTATACTATTTAAAATAAAAAATAAAAAAATCGACATAGAATGGCACTACGGGGGGTCGAACCCGGACCGTTTGGTCCGTAGACAAACGCGCTCCTGACTGCTCTACACTCCTGACTGCGACAAAAGCTTTCTAGCCAGAAAAAAACCCGTTGTTAAACGGGTTTTTCGATTTGTAGATTAGGAAATAAGGTACCGTATTAGCTCTTCATTTAGCTGAATCTATCTATTCACCCACCTGTGAGATGATCTCGTTTCTCTGATACCAAACCCATCCGACGTGATCTCTCAACTCCGCATCTGCAGCCATATCATTGTAGGCACAGGGCACCGGCATCACTGTATGATTCTAAAAATTGTCCTTGATCTCTGACCTTGATCTCTGATCTCTGAGGTTGAAGCTAAACGAAGCTTCAACCTCAGAGCTTCAACCCTCTGAAGCTAAACGTAAGAAATGCTCATCCAAACCTTGAACTCTCTCAAATCTTTCTCGAACCATTTATTCTCAATGCCGATATCACCAGTGTTTGTCGTTTCGCGTACAAAAGTCCACAAGCCGCTTAAATCGTCGAATGTTCGCTTGTCATTTCGCTTAAATTTGATGAATTGTAGCAACTTGATAAGTTGAAGGTTTTACCTGTACATGTAAAGCGCAAACTATTGAGAGAAAGCTCAATAGGTGTAATATCCGTAAGATCATCAGCTAAAATTGAAATTATTCTTTGAAAATAAACAAAACTATGGCACTTTTTAAGAAAGGAGACTAAGAGGACTCGAACCAGGATTACGAGAGACGGGTGTCGCCCGGAAATCAAGAATTTAAAATTGGAACCGTATTGGAACCGTATTAGATCGAAATAGGAAGCGTATTGGAACCGTATTGGATCAAAAAAGGAACCGTATTGGAACCGTACTGGAACCGTATTGGAACCGTATTGGATCAAAAAAGGAACCGTATTGGAACCGTACTGGAACCGTATTGGAACCGTATTGGATCAAAAAAGACGCGAATTGGAACCGTATTGGAACCGTATTGGATCAAAAAAGGAACCGTATTGGAACCGTACTGGAACCGTATTGGAATCGTATTAGATCGAAATAGGAAGCGTATTGGAACCGTATTGGATCAAAAAAGGAACCGTATTGGAACCGTACTGGAACCGTATTGGAACCGTATTGGATCAAAAAAGGAACCGTATTGGATCAAAAAAGGAACCGTATTGGAACCGTACTGGAACCGTATTGGAACCGTATTGGATCAAAAAAGGAACCGTATTGGATCAAAAGGAACCGTATTGGAACCGTACTGGAACCGTATTGGAACCGTATTGGATCAAAAAAAGACGCGAATTGGAACCGTATTGGAACCGTATTGGATCAAAAAAGGAACTGTATTGGAACCGTACTGGAACCGTATTGGAACCGTATTGGATCAAAAAAAGACGCGAATTGGAACCGTATTGGAACCGTATTGGATCAAAAAAGGAACCGTATTGGAACCGTATTGGAACCATATTGGAACCGTATTGGAACCGTATTGGAACCGTATTGGAACCGTATTGGAACCGTATTGGAACCGTATTGGAACCGTATTAGATCAGCCCCACTCGACCGGGGATAACAAAAACAAGGCTGAAAGGATACGCATTGAAATCAACAACACATTGATCAAAGCAACGACACAAAGGGAAAGCTGGGTAAGTGGTTATTGTGGCATTCTTCCTGAATTCTATCAATTCTTAGCCCTATTTTGGTCGTATTTTTGTACCTATTTATCGTAGCTGGATAAGTGGTACTTCTTGAATTGATCAAACAATGCCTTTTTTAGGAATTGTTTGATCAAAAAGCTTGTCTAGAGGCCAGACAAGTGTTGGATTGTGAATGATTGGCCTCTCGCGAAAGACAGACCAATTAATCAATGAGTTCAACAAAAAGTTTTCGTTTTTGTCGGGAGAAAGGCTATCCCAGGATGGCCGGGTTAATGCTGAAAGATGAGCAAAATACAAGACTTTTATATTTACGAAATACGTTTCTTTTCAAAGTTTTTGAACCTCAAAGGAACCAAATCTGTACCGAAAAGGAACCAAATCTGGACACAAACCAACTGGATTGGTTTGTGTTCTTTCAAATGAATTTTTGGGGGTGGGACAAACGCGACCTTTTTTTGCGCACTTGGACATTTGCGCACCTTTTTTTTTGCTGGAAAAGGCCTTAGGCAAGGTCGTAGAGCTTCAAAAATATTTCCACATAAGGGAATCGTATGCGTAGATTCCGAATTTCGACAAATCAGACCTCGCTGACACGTCAAATTTGGGCTAAAAAGGCAAAAACTGCGGAAAAGCGTTAAGTTGCGTAGTTTTTGCCTTTTTAGCCCAAATGTGACGTGTCAGCGAGGTCTGATTTGTCGAAATTCGGAATCTACGCTACGATTCCCTTCTATGAAAACATTTTGAAGCTCTACGACCTTTCCTAAGGCCTTTTCCAGCAAAGGTGCGCAAAAAAGGTCGCGTTTGTCCCACCCCCAAATCTGTGCCGAAAAGGAATCAAATCCGTACCGAAAAGGGAATCAAATCCGTACCGAAAAGGAACCAAATCCGAACACAAACCAACTCGATTGGTTTGTGTTCTTTCAAATGATTTTTTCGTTTTCTGAAACGTTTTCCTTCTTTTTACCGTAATCTTGTCTATTTTTCTGTCTGTTTTTTATATCTTTCTGCCTGTTTTTATATTTTTATGTCTATTTTTATACCGTATTTCTTCGAATAGAAGACCGGGTAAAGAGTATCATCGCGTACTTCTGCGTAGCAGCCCTTTGTTAAAATTTCTTTTCTGCATAAAGCTTTCAATGAAGTGCTATAGAGGTGGAAAGTGGCTCAAAAATACCACATGAACTAACAGATTTTTGAGGCCATTTTCCAGCTCTATAGCACTTGGATTGAAAGCTTTTATGCAGAAAAGAAATTTTAAAAAGAGCTGCTACGCAGGAGTACGCGACGATACCTTTACCCCGGTCTTCTATTCGAAGAACTACGGTATATTTTTTGTCTATTTCTGTCTATTTTTATATTTTTGTCTATTTTTATCTAATCTACCGTATTTCCTCTAATAAACGCCCCCTTGACCAACTTTGGACGCTTCGTTCTCAGCCCCCATTTTGAGGTATTTTTATGTTTAATATATCAAAAGATAGCCCTTAATGTCTTCTATCTTTTGATATATTAAACATAAAAATATCTCCAAATGAGCTGAGAACGAAGCGCCAAAGTTGGTCAAGGGGGCGTTTATTAGAGGAAATACGGTATCTATTTGTCTGATTTTGTAAAAATTTACAAAGAATATTTAAAAATCGAAAAAGTGGATAGATTGAATAGAAATTAGACAGATTACGGTAGAAAAAGTTACGGTTTAGAAAACGGATTGTTTAAGAGACTGTTGTTGACTAGGATTGTTGGGAATAGGGTAATAAAATAAAAAAAGTAAGAAAATCTATTTCTGGAAAAGTTTAGAAGCCAAAACAACAGAATAACAAAAAATTTCGGGACTTTAACGCACAAATATTTTGTCTACAAGTAGTTTTGTAAACAATTTAACAAGAAAGAAGCTCTTGTTCAAAGAAAGCAAGAAGCTTTAAGCTTTTGAAAGCATTTAGCTTTTGAAAGCATTTAGCTTTGAAAGCTTTTTAGCTTTTGAAAGCTTTTAGCTTTGAAAGCTTTTCTAACCAGGTCAAAGAGCTGGGAAAAATTTGGGGATCTGAGAATATCTCAAAATATTTGTGAGTAGATTGAGAGATGTGGAGGGGAAGGGTTGTTGATTGAACGGCTGTCACCCAACCACCGCACACCAATCACTCCAATGCAAAAGACTCAAAAGCCGTGAGAAATAACCAATTTCTCTTCCCAATATATTTGAAAACTCTTATTTTGGTCTCTTTTCCCGATTTTCGTTAAAAGTTCGATCTTGAGAGGAACTGTTTTCGGGAGAAAGCAGTCTGCGTTTGCAGTCTGCGAAAGGGAAAGTTGCGATTGAAATTTTTGGATAAAAAAAACCCGGAATTAAACTCAAAGTTGGAAAATTGGCTCTACTAAATTTCGAGAAACATTTCAGAATTTAAACAATATTAAGGATGATTTTGGCTATTGTGAGCCCATTGGACTGTGAAAATTTTCTCATCTGTGAACATCTGCTTGAACAAAAATTATATCCGAACAACCTAATAAAAGAAGCCCAAAAGAAACCAATTTTCTGATTTAGATGGGGATAACAGTGTTTTTGATGATAGTGCTCTACTTTTTGTGAGTTTATTTACACCATCAAACAGGAACAACAATAAATTTGTAGGCTTTAAAGGAAATCTTTAAATATTATCAATTAATATTTAATGAAATCAATAATCAATGAAATTTTAGCATGGAAATCTCGAAAAGGCCAATCAAGCCAATCAAGCCAATCAAACCAATCAAGCTAATAAAGCCAATAAAGCCAATAAAGCTAATCAAGCCAATCAAACCAATCAAGCCAATAAAGCCAAGACAAGCCAAACAAGCCAAACAAGTCAATCAAACCAATCAAACCAATCCAAACCAATCAAACCAATCAAGCCAAATCGATGGCCTAATCCTGTTCGCTGTAATGGTGGGACCAAAAAAGCAAAGACCAGATGGTTCAAAAGTTACGCTAGAATTGCTCTTTGGTGTACTTTGTGTTCGGGTAATCCTAAACACACTCCTGACGCACTTTGACGCACTTTGACGCACTCTGACGCACCTCTGACTCACTCTGACTCACGCTGACACACTCGTGACGCCGCTCTGACGCACTTTGTCGCACTCCTGACACACTCGGACTCACTCTGACTCACGCTGACGCTCTCTTGGACGCACTCTGACGCACTTTGTCGCACTCTGTTGCACTCTGACTCACTCCTGACTCACTCTGACGCACTCCTGACGCACTCTGATGCCACTCTGGCGCTCACTGACGCACTCTGACGCACTCCTGACGCACTCTGACGCACTCCTGACACCCTCTGACGCACTCTGACTCACTCATGACGCACCTCTGACGCACTCCTGACGCACTCTGACGCACTTTGACGCACTCCTGACGCACTAGTTCCACGGTCATTTTCCCGTAAAGCCAAGCATTGTTGCAAGAGATTTCAGGGCGCTAGAAAGGGATACATTTGCATTCTTGAGCACAAAATCCAATTGCAAAGGCAATTCTGCTAAAGAACAACAAGAAAATCACTGAAATCTACGACCAGAGAATCAATAAAAGTCAATTTTTTTTTCAACAAAACCTATTTTATACACAAAATCTTTTGATCACTGTTCACAAAGGAAATTTTAAAAAACGAATTCAAAAGGTTTTCTATTGACAAAAAGGGAATTATCGTGACTCAATAACGGAAAAAACACGAAAATCGTTTTCCCAGAATAAAAACCAATAGTAACACAGAGGAGCTTTGAATTTGAAAGTAAAGAAGTTCTAGAAGTTCTAGAAGTTCTAGAAGTGTTCAGAAGTCGAATCCTTTGCCTTATCTAATCTCAGCCTCTCAGCCATTAAACTTTCTCGAAATTTGCATTTCCTTTGTTTGTCGATAGCGTTTGAAGCTGAAATTCACTCTCCAAAGTACTCAATTTCAAGAGTGATAATGCGGAAAATTTCCAAATAAAACAAACAAATGAAAATTTGGCTCTA